TTTTTTGGAATATTTTATTTTTGCTTTTGAACTGTAATATAAACAAAAAATACAAAACACAACTTTTTGCACAAGACAGGACAATACAAGACAAAAAGGAAAAAGAGAAAAAAATAAAAAATAAATAAAATTGGGATGATACAGGATATCATAGTTATTACTGTGTAAAACCTCACTCGAAAAGAGAATCCATCCGGTCTATTGAAGTGTCTTCCATATAACGGAAAAGGGGTTGCCAAATTTTATAAAATACTTTACTTTTATTTCTTAGCCAGTATGTTAATTTTTCCAAGGGTATACAGTTATTAACCTCAGATAACCATAGACTTATGGGAATAACAGTATCAGATTTCCACTTCATTGCAATGCACTTCTTAGCAATTATTAGTAGAATTTCTGTGAGTCTTATGATCTTGAGTAATATTGGAATTGGTGTAATTAAATCTGGGTACTGTCTTACGTTTTAAAATCACAAAGGGCGTTTGGTGCCATCAGGCTAACGTGACCGTCACGACTCATGCAGCTGTAAGGTTTTTTTCTTTTGTTTTTACTCGCGATATTTACAACACGCATTACATTACGTATTTCATGGCACACTCGTTTTATGCGGGTTTGGCGCCACCTATTGTTGTGGGTGTATTATTGACATGTCAAAGTCTAGACCCTGAATATAAGACGACCGCGTTTTTTCAGATGTATTTCCAAGAAAAAAATATCGTCTTATATTCGGGACAATACGGTATATATATATTTTTTTATAATAGTTTTATATAAAATAATTATATAAAAATAAATTTTTATACAAATATATGTATTTTTATAATATATATATATATATAGAGAGAGAGAGAGAGAGAGAGAGATTTTTAAAAAACATTTTTATAACTAAGTTTTTTTCATAAACGCTATAGTTCGCTTCAAATGGCATTCGATCTTACATTAATTCTGGTGCAATGCATCATATCAGAAGTGTGTTAGAAATATATATGTATTCATGTCGGTTTCATATGGTTTTGAAATATTTTCATTTACTGTACACGATTTACTGTTATGATTTACTTTACAACAAAAAGTTTTCAATGTCATATGAAAAATATCATGTGGTGCAACCATTAAAAAACTCTGCCGCCCCACAGGAAGAGGAGAAACTCTGCTTCACCTCAGTGATAATGACCAACATCAGGTGTGAGTGGAGTGACTCACACATTCACACACACTCACACACACACTCTCACACACTCACACACACACACACTCACAC